CTGACCCACAGTACCTTGGTTTGGCCCTCTTCTGATTCCACCTTGATTGTAGAGGATGTATATTGTTCCTTAACATAGAGAGCAATGCACCTTCCCCCCCCACACGCTTTTTTGCCCCACTCTATCCCATCTGTACAACCTGTAACCTTTAATGCCTGCTGGCCAATCATGAGTAGGAGCCCACCAGGTTTCAGTTAGTTCAACCAGGCTGAAGTTGTTGCTTGCAAGCAGGAGTGTAAGTTCCTCCTGCTTGTTCCCCATGCTCCTAGCATTAGTGTAGAGACATTTAAGCCCCCCGAGGGGTGCCCTTGGTACCCCCCTGTCTTAATGTCTGTCAGGCCCCTTAGTGCTTACCTGGGCTGATCCAGTGCATTGCTCATGGTTCGCTGATCCTAGGTTCTCCTTATCCTCTGCTTCCCTGTCCCCTGATGAAATAGTTTAAAGCCCTTCAGAGGAGATCAGCCAACCAGTAAGAGAACAGACTTTTACCTTTGGAAGAGAGATGAAGACCATCTTGTCCCAGGATGCCTCTGTCATGAAAATGAGGATTGTGGTTGTAGAAGCCAAAACCCGCATGATGGCATCAACTCTGGAGCTGCAGAAGTTGTTAGATTATATAAGATATTTTCAGTATACCTTACGATTCCAGATTTGCATGTATTGTTTATTATTTTTACTGTTGTAATGTCTGGTAATCCCAAATCATGAACCAGGATCCTGTTGTATTACAACTGTACAAATAGAACTAAAAAGACAAATCTTGCCTCAGAGAGCTTACTACTATATTTACTTGAATAGAAGATGACCCCCCAATAATTAGATTCTTTATACGGAAAATTTATAAATTCATTATAATTTTCCAGGTATAGCATCTGATTAATAGAAGATTGCCTTAAATTTGTCCCCTTTCCACTGCTACAGCAGGGAAAAATATCGGGGGGGGGGGCAGGCAGCCCTTTTCTCTCTGCTTTTCCCCAATTTTTTTTCCCTTCCCCCTCTCCTTACTGTCAGGCCCTGCTGTCCCTGAGGACATGGAAGTGAGGAACAAATTGGAAAACAATAACCTTGACATTAAACTTGTCAATAACAATTTGTATATAGTACCCATGCACTTAACATATATCCAATCTGGATAAATTAACTTTTTATAAAACTGTTGTAAGTGTTAGTACAGGTATTCCATAAACACACTTTTGAGCAGCAGTTTGGCACCTACTTACGTGTAGTACAAACCATGCATGATATTAGTCTAAGGCCAGAAAAGCTTGTGGTTTATCACATAGTTCATTAGGCTTGAGCCCCACAAGAGTCATCAGGATTTTAAGCCATGATGACCCCACAGCTCTGCAATGTATGTACCCCAGAATGCCACCCCACCCTCCCCACAAAGGATCCATGTACTAATTAGTCCCACTTACGACTGGAACTGGGCGTTCTTGTCAGAAATCCTGCTCCAAAAATTTATGTGCAGATGAGGCACAGAGCAACCAGGTCCAGCTTCACCTCATGGAGGGTGGGGCCACACTAATCATATGTGCCAGGCTGAGAGGGGAGGTGGTGGAGGGATTCTGGGTGAACAATAATCAATGTCATGGCTCCTCATGATTTTAAAAGGAGTCAGTGGTGAGGGGGACTGTGCTTAATGGGCAGTAGCATGTATCTTATTCATATGGGCTACACTAACCCATTCTTGTGGTAGGTTCCCATCAGCATGTTTGCTCAATGTGGGCCATGTGTTTTATTGTCATGCTCAATGTTGGTTGCATTTAATCATCTTCACAGTTGGTTTCCGTTGCTGAGCACATGCTGCTTTTGGCAGGAGTTTAATGCTAGATAACATATTTAGTGAGATTTCCTTGTATGTGATAGTAAGACGAGGGGCTTTTTTCCCCATGTTAACTGGGGGAGTGGGGGACAGACGTTGTCTTATATTCAAGTAAATATGATATCTAAGGCTCTTCATAAGCATAACTGTCAAGGAGAGAGGAGAGTTGCTGCTGGCTAGTACATATCAGCTGTTTTGAGAAATCTTTTACATTTGCATGCTCCTGCATGCAATATAAGTCAGCCAAGTTGCCTTAACTTTAACCCTAAATAAAGTGGGTTTAAAGTTACAAGTCTGTCAAGCAGCAAATCAGTCAGGAAATTGGAACCTACGAACTGTTGTTGGAGGTTGTGCGATGAAGGAAGCTGTAATGGTTTGGACACATCAAGAGCAGGCCAGACATCCTTGCCAACACCATAATGCAGAGTGCAGCAGTGGGGGAAGAGAAAAAGAAGTAGATCCAAGAAAAACTGGGAAACCAATATTGAGGACTGAATGGGGCTTCAGCTGACAGAATGTACAAAGCTAGCCAAACACAGAGTGGAGGAGGGTTGTTACAGCATCTAAGATGCCCCAATGGTCACAACAGCCTTGGACTGACTTGAAAGTTACAACTTTTGTAATTTGCTAGAAGTACAATTGTTATGTCTGTCCATACTCCAGATGAAGATGAAGACAACAGATGGCTTTAGATAGTCACAAGGAAGATTCAAGAAAACTGAGACCTGCATCTAGCTAGCCTGTCCCAAGGCCATTTTATTATGGCACATCTGTTGTTTCTATTTACTGCACGACCTGCTTCTCAATCTAAAATAATGAGTTTGGTAATAAAAGTAATTTCTGTGGGCATTAAAGGAAGTGATGTGGAAAGTATAGCTCAAGATTTTTACTATACAAAGCTGTTAAGGGGATATTAATTTTCTGTCAAACTAAGCAATGCAGTGTGAAGCATTAAAGATTCACTTCTGACTTGCAAGAGCCCATTAGGTATTTGAATGCGCAGCAATACCTTATTTCAAGAAAGTGAAATCCTGTTCATAGAATGATGCGTGGTTCCTTGGGAAAATAAAACCCCCCACAAAACTAGCACATGGTTATGTAATTAAAGGCTTATCTTTATATACTCCCCAAAGGAAGATAATTAAGGTAACAGGAGCAATGAACTACCTGTTTTTTTGAAAAAATGTTAAAATGTTCAGCTGTTACAGGAAGCTGAAAATAGCTACATCATTATGAATCATATTTCAGCTGTGAACCTTTTGCATTGCAGCTACTAATCAAATTGTTGTATTAGACAGCAGCAGAACAAGGCTGTTATCTAGTTTAGATAGGATGGTCCATTATGTTCGTTGTGCTTGAGGACCCCTCTACATATTATGTGTGTCATACAATTACCATGTTAATTGTGCAATTAAATTAGACCAGCTGCAAGGACAGATTAACTGCCATGCTATAAAAAGGTCCAACTAGCTATAAGGTTATTGCTGGAAAATATGTAATAACTATATAGTTGGTTGCTATCCAGCATTAATTTGCACTTGTAGCAGGGCCTGCCCCTGGGGTTAGGAGTCCATCAGCTGAGGGGACTCTCAGCTCTGGAACTGTGGATGCAGGGTTCTTGGCCAGGGATGGGAAATTATTTGGGCGGAGGGCGCAGTTTTTGCTTCCTGTTCAGTCAACAGCAAGCAATGTGAAACAAAAACCGCAGCGTATTTAAAATGTGGTTTTTGCCTCCCAGCCACCAGGAAGCAGTGGGGCCAATGGACCTATCCACCAATCAGCAGTGGGTGGTTGCAGGGGGGGAACTCCAAGGTGAAAGGCCCCACCATGCTGTCAGCTGGGCCTGCGATTTAAACCAGGCCCTAGATATAATGTAGAATCTCACAATCATGCCTTCTGTCATGCACATGTGGCATGGCAGGAAGTGTGATTGTGTGGATTGCACATTAGATCCCATTATGCTTTTACCTGCACATGTACAGGGGGCCCTGAGGAGTAGGAGGAGCAGTCAGCAGCAGCTCAGCCTGACCAAGCTTCTACCTTCCTTCGAAGAAGGGTAGGACTCCTGTCTCATGCTGTGCTTCCAGAATTAAAAAAAAAAAAAAAAAAA